TGTTGCTGGAGGTGCACTGTCTGATCCCGGGGACGGATTGAACAACCGTGTCGCTTGGTACGTCCCAGAGGTGCCAACAAGTCAGAAACATTGTGGCCTAACTTCAGTGCGTGCACAGGCCCTCGGCTGATTGGGGAAGCTTGCCGTTGGAAGGCGGCGTTGAGGCAGCCTACAAGCGACAACTCGATAGTGCGCCCACGCCAGCCGCGAGGGAGATGATGATGAAGGGACTCCTATCGAAGTTCGAGAGTGTACGTGACCCCACTCGGACCGCCAACCTGTTTGGCATTGAGGAGATCATCGACCCACGGGATACTCGGCCCATAGCCTGCCAGGTTAAAGTTCCTTGGCCGTCTGAAGGCGTTGAGTGATCGCTGACAACGCATCGCGCCCACAGTGGATAACTCATGCATATAACCATCTGCTACCACCACGGTTGGCTGCCAGGCAGGCATCCGCAACCGCAGTACCCGGAAAGTACAAACTATAGCCCTACGAAACAGTACATCTACCTCCCAGAATATGCAACTTCCACAGCTCTGAAGGCAGGATACAACAGAGCGCCCAATGCGAATCCCACCAGGATGCCAATGTCACCCGTGCCTGCGTTCGCAATGGGCCCGACGTACCATGCCTGGGACATGCACGGGACGATGATCCCGCACGCACATAGGAACGAGAAGACGGCGGCGATTCCGAGGGGAAGTTCGCGCGGTTTGCACCACTTCGAGAGGTCGTAGCGCGTCCAGTCGTTCTTGCGGAAGATAAAATGCTCGATGATCACGATGACTGCGAAGACCGTGCTCCAGTAGCCGATAACGCCTGACAGGGCCACATAAGTTTGCAAACCAATAAGCAAAGGGGCTGAGGTTGAGACACTCACTGAGAACATCGACGAAGGTGGTGTAGAAGTGCGTCGCACCAACGATCGCGACGGGTATAAGGCTGCACAAGCCAATCTTGTTAGTCAGGTGTTCCAGAACAACCCGCATGGAGAAGACGCACATCGCTTCGGAGATAATGGTATACACGTAGCGGGGTACGCGCGCAAACCAGACATGGATCGTCATCAGACTGGACGCGAATGTGTACATCGTCGGCGCACATGCGCTCGGTATGGAGAGCGCAACCAGGACGGTGAGGAACTTGCCAAAGCCCCCGGATGGTGAGAGGACGGCTTCGATCAGCCCGCCGACGTTGTTTCCTCCATCAAAGCCAGCTTCCCAAGAGGGCACGCCAGGAGCTGCAGCTGCGAAGGCGGCTCCGAGTAGATGGGCAGCGAGCTGTATAAAAGAGGTGTGAGTTTGCTTTGAGGGAGCCGTCACAGAGTACGTACACTTGCGATGAAGAAGCCGGCGTAACTGTACAAAAACACTCTTGTGCTACCATATGGCACGCACATGAGCGACCGATAGTAAAATAGTGTGAATGCATACTGACCTTGACGCTTTGTGCGTATGGTAGACGCCATAGTCTGGAGTCATCATACACCAGCTGATCACGCTCGAAGCTGTCGTAGTAGCAAACGACAGGACGGCCGCGGCAGACGGTGGTGGAGGCGTCGGAGCCTCAGTCAAATGCTTACCACCGAGGCCAAGCATCACGATGAAGGTAATGACGCTAGGGATCCAAGCAATCATCTCATACCTGGTGTGATCGGCCTATGTGAGTACAATCTTGTTTGCAGACTACGAGACATACCAGTGAATGACCCGGTAACCACAGAAGGTGACCTACAATCGAAATTGAGCTATTCGCCCCGGAAGATGTGACGAATGGCATACCAGCAGGGATATTACTCCAATGATGACTATACCCAATGTATCGTCTAGGTGAGATGACACACTCGCGAGCGTCTGCCCACCGATGATGCAGTTCAGGATCAGGAAGCCCTGCATGGAAAACACTGTAAAGGCACTCGGGAGTATCGACCCGAAGTAGCTGTGGGGCTATTGGCTTCAACCGGGTATTGTGGAGCGCAACCACACGTACCCCCAAGAGTAGCGCGCGAGCACCATAGATCGCATCCCGAGCTTAGGCCCAAAGACGGCGCTGCAGGAGGGACGCTGTGTGAGGCGGCCGATCATATGGCTCAGCATAAGGCGAACACCTACAAGTACGCAGGAATAACACATGAGCTAGAATGCGAGTTAGTGCAAATCTTACAGGCTAACGTAGAGCAACAAACATCAAATCCACAATCAAGAGGATGATGAACGAGTCTTTAAGTCCGAGACCGAAGAACGCAGGCCCCGCTGAGCCGGTTCCGAATCTATGAAGGGTCACACATGTCGGACGAGGGTAATATTACTCTGACGGAGTGTCACGCACGCCAGGATATTCAGGTTGGCAGAGAACCATACGAAGAACATCTGGTATAGCTTGGTATCTGTTCTATCCTCTGGTACAATAGGATCAATTCTAAACGGGAGATAAGTTAGATAAGACACGGGCGTTTAACAACATAGAGACCAACCCGTTTGTCTCGACTCCCCAGCGGGTGAGGAAGTCGGTCATGGACGCGAACCATCCTTGGGACCGAGCTCCTGTGGTTGCTTCGTCTAGGACGCTGTTGGCTTTTTCGTCCTCGTAGGAGCTCATGATCCGGGGCGTGTAGGGTACGGAGAGAAGGCTCGAAGAAAAAGTTGATGGCTGTGGTTCATACTTATCATCATTGACTCAGCACACGTGAGTCGCCAGAGACGCCGGTCGCTGTCAGGAATAAGGCAGACAGGAAGCCCGTGGAGCGAGTTACAGCATTTTACGGTGTTCAAACAGTCCCGAAGGAGGACCGTAAGGCCGATTGAGGCAGTCCACTTCCCGAAACGCGGGTCCGACGCTCACGATCGTCGCCTATACGGACTGACTACGGACTGTTAACTGAAGGGAGAAGCGCCCATGATTAGCTCTAGCACGCGGAAAGCAATTGTATGCTGAATGCATACCCACCTTGTCACTATAAGGCACGAAAGCAAGTCAATGCGCTGGTCTTGCCTCGTACTCCTTCACCAGCTTGGAAAGGGTTATGGTTACGCAACGACGTTGCGGGACGAGTGTGCACTCACCTCTTCGAAGTGCTCGTGTTTCCAGTGCATCTCAACCATGTCTAGTTCTTCCTCCGGGAGGTACCATTCCAGGAACATGAAGAAGAGGCAGTCAACTATGAGAATGGCCGCGTAGATCAATCCCGCGAAGCGACCGATGTCGAGCGTTCTATGGCACTTGTTAACATTTCTCGTCGCCGCAGATCAGAATGATGCGTACCGCTGCAGTCGGGTCCAGAAGTCGTACGGTGGACTAGCTAGTACCGACTCGTAAACGAGCTCAGTTCGCCTTGTTATCTCAGTCCAGTCGTAGAAGTCCTTGATACGCTCATGGGCGCGGATCGGGTCGTGCTTGCCTGCAGAGACACGCTCGATCGCTTCCGACACAGCGCGGACTACATCTAAGGAAGCTATGAGGACGATGTATGTATGTATCGCGGAAGCGAATATGCCCTACCGTCTTCATCTGGATTCGCAAATGATATTGTATCTTCTGGTAATATCTCGGGCACACCGCCGACTCGGGTGGACACGACGTAGAGCCCCGTACAAGCGGCCTCTAGGATGGCGATTCCGAAGGATTCTGTGAGTGAAGTATTCATATAGATAGACCCTTGCACGAGAACCTGAGCTGACTCGTTAGTATGGCATTTTATTCCTCACGGGCGCACTCACGTTGCGAACGTCACTGTGCCGAATAGGGCCTAACATCTCGATACGATCCTGCAGTAGATGTTTCTCCCTCATTTGAAGTATGTCTATGAGTTTGGGGCCGTCTCCGCCTGCCGTCCCGGGTTGAGTAGTAGAAGAAGTACATCCCAAGGCCAACGCACCGATGAGAAAGCGGACGTTGGGAAATAACGCGCAAATCCTTGGCGCGGTCGCAACTAGGAGGTCGATGCCTTTCCTGTATGCTAAACGTGACAAGACCACTATTGTAACTACGGGCACAATCAGCGAATGCCATACATAGACCTCCTCGTAATCACGTACTGGTATCACCGGGAGGAGGTTTGGGTGCAGGTTTGAACTGCTCTGCAACAAGCGCGTTTGGAATTACATGAATTTTGTTCGGCATAAGCCTGGCCCTGAGCACTGTGTTCTCGCGACTGTTCAAAGTCTCCGTTATTCGGAGCGCATGAACAGAATGAGAAGCCTCTTACCCTGTATGCGAGACGCATATAGCTCGGTCTACGTTGCGTAAAGCAGCCTCCAAGAGCTTATTCGTCAAGATGCTAGCTGCATCGTCGAAGCCAAATAGGCTATGGTCTGTGAACACTGTACGCACATCCATATGATGGGCATGAAGGATCGCTTCCTGGGCCAAAGACGAGAGACTGGCGTGGCCATGCACAAGCTGGATGTCCTCTCGTAATACAATGGTCCGGAAGTACGGCAAGAATGTGAAGTAGTTTGGAAGGGTCGCTGAGGAGGCGATAGTCGGAAACGGAATGTAATAGACCTTCAGTCCCGGGATGAGCCATCGTACACCAACGCGGTCTGGCGGGTGGCTATGTGTTATGACGATGACCTATAGCCACGTTAGCAAGCTGTCTGGTATAAATGTGAGGAATTTGCCTTGTGACCCCGACGTATGAGGTTCGCGCTGAGCATGTAGATATGATTCTCCACCCCGCCTACGCCTGGGTGGAAGAAGTCGCATACCATGCTGTCATGCTTGGTCTCAGCCTAGTTGCACAAAGCCAAGCGGATTTGTTTCTTACGCGATGTTGATCCCCATGATTTCAGAGCATACGTCGGCGTAAGTCTACGCTGGCCAATTACCGAAGTAGTAGGGCATCAGTTATGCAAACGACATGGTCGTGTCTGGCTGAACTCGGTTTCACCCTTCCCGAGTGGATAGGAGTGAGTTGCTGGCGTGGATGACGGGACAGCATTAAATGGATGTCGTTTGATACTAACTGATGATAGTGCTTCATGCGTTAGAAAAAGCACGGTTCGATGGTGTAGTTGGTTATCACGTCTGTCTCACACGCTCATGGTTGAGCGGTGATCACAGGAGGTCCCCGGTTCGAGCCCGGGTCGAACCACTTTTTGACGGGCGGGATTGTCGGAGACAATGCGTGAGTGCGTGGGGACGGAGGCGCAGCGGCGGGACGGCACAGCGTAATGGATAGCAGCAACAGGCGCTCGTCCTACTCCCATTAAGCGGTCCTGGTGGTCCTGGCACACGCGCACGTTCTTTCTTTCCAGTCCTGCTTCCTCCTTCTTCCTACCGTATAGGTCTCACTTCATCCCCCTCGTCTTTCTTTCTTTCCACCCTCGACGCGATGGCAACTTTGGATAGGGCCGACACCGCTACGCCCATGGATGAGGACGCCCCCGGTCAAGCCATATCAGTGCCCGATGCCACCGACGCTGGCGAAAGCGGCAAGCTCAAGATGATCGTCCAGCTCGTCAAGAAGTGTCTAGGTGTCAAGGATATCGCTGCCATGTATGTCTCGTTCCGCTCTATTGTCTACGCGACTCTACCTGACGCTGTGGGTGTGCTAGGCGCCTTTCGTTGCCGGCATCGTTGCTAGAGCCCATCCCCAATCTCGAGTACTGGCATTATTTAGATAGACCAGATCTCTTCGCTGCGTAAGTGCTACTTCTGGGAGACTTTGCGCACTGAAAACCCAATGGGATGATGCCAGCATCAATGATTCTGACGACCCATTCGAGCGTATGCTGGCCGTACTCAGATTCACTTTCTCCAAGGACCTCAAATTCATCGTGCGTAGCCCTCCATATGTATACGAGGCTGTGTGTTGAGTGTATGTACAGAAGGGCAAGGTTTGCAAGCCTTACAACTCCGTCCTGGGCGAGCACTTCCGGTCACACTGGGACGTGATCCCCGTCTCTTACCCTTCGGATCCCAACGAGCCTCCCATTCATCACCTGTATGTCTCCCCGCCTGGCGCCGAGCCCCCGAGCACATCCTGGTTCTCTGGCCCTGCGACCCATTCGATGCCCGATGTCGCGCATCCGCACCTCTCGGAGAGCGCGAGTATCAAGAGCGGCAAGAGCAACAAGAGCGCGTTCAGTGGTTTCAGCTTCATGTCCCGCGGACCATCCGCAACCGCCAAGTCGACCCCCGCGACCTCTCCGGAACTTGTGGAGACGAACTTGGAGGCGGGCATGTCTAATCTCAGCCTCGCGAACGATCAGAGCTCTGGCGCAGTCGACCTTCTTGAGACGGACGAGACCGCTGCGGACAAGCCGCGCGTGCGCATTGCCTTCCTCACGGAGCAAATCTCGCACCACCCCCCTGTCTCCGCATTCTATGCTTCCTGCCCGACCCGCCACGTCGAGCTGTGCGGCATTGACCAGATCTCGGCCAAGGTATCAGGCACGACGCTGCGCGTCATGCCGGGCTCGTTCAACAAGGGCATCTTCGTGCGTATCACCGGCGAGCCCGGCGCGGGCGAGACGTACCACATCACGCACCCGGTCGCGGCGGTGAACGGCCTTCTGCGCGGCAGCTTCTACGTCGCCATCGGGGACTCGACGATCATCACCTGCTCTGGCGGGAAGGACGGACAGAAGCTTCGGGCCATCATCGAGTACAAGGAGGAGTCGTGGCTGGGGCGGGCGCAGTTCCAATGCGAGGGCGTCATTCACACGTACGACCCGAAGGAGAGCGTGCACGAGGAATGGACCCGCGTGAAGCACGTCCCGCACGAGCGCGTCCTGGCGGTCTTTGATGGCTCTTGGCGAGGCCGTATCCGCTGGAAGCGCGTCGATGCGCCGGATAGCGAGTACGCGACGCTGATTGACCTGACCCCTCTGCATCCCGTTCCCAAGGTGGTCCGCCCGCTGGAGAAGCAGCTCCCGAACGAGAGCAGGAAGTTGTGGGAGAACGTGACGAGCCGTCTGCTCAAGAAGGAGTACAGCGAGGCGACGAAGCACAAGTTGGCCATAGAACAGAAGCAGCGAGATGATACTGCCGAGCGCAAACGCAAAGGGGTCAAGTAAGTCCGAGCCTTCCTACTGTTCCATCTGATCACTCACGCCGCTGTGTAGGTTTGTTCCTCGATACTTCGATCCTGATATCTCCTCGGGAATGCCGACGCTCACCGAAGAGGGCCGTAAGGCTCTCGAGGAAGAGCTTAAGGAACCGGCCGACCACAAGTTAGAAGAAGAGAGCTCTTCGGAATCATCTACCCCAGGCGAAGCCTCGAGCGCATGAACGTTATGACCCCCCGAACGTCACACGAATATACTCACCACATTCATCTACCGTGTTTCTTGGCGTTGTACCATACGATATACCACTGACCGCCTCCTTTCGTCGCTTCTCGCACGGACATGCAGTCGACACTTTTGTACGAACCGGAACGGAGGGGGTGGTAGATAATATGTCCTGAAATCGCATCGTTGGTAGCAGCACGACCACGTTATATACATCCGCAATGCAGTCAGTGTTCGTTTGCTCTGGACATATCTGGCGTGGTTTCGAGTGCGACGCCGCGAGTCTGGACGGATATATACGCGCTCGGGTAGATATGTTGAGCGCCTCAAAGTCGATCGCGTCGAGCTGGCCGGCGTCGGACGCGTTTCTGTGTCGCGTCACCATCTTCCGAGCCTGCGCGGACGCCCTCTGCAGAGTCGACGACGTGCGCATGCCCCTGCTCGCCGCGAGGGCCGCTGTCTGGCGGATTCCGCGGGCTCGAGCAGCGCGGGCAGTTCTATCGCAGCATCTGATAACATCGTCTCGCCCAAAAACAGTCGAGTCAATCTGCAAAAGCGCCGAGTCGTCTGCTGCTCCAGCCTGTCCCCGAGCTGCCCTCAGCCACTTCTCCTCCTCCTCCTTCTCGCTCTCCTCCTCGCGCTCGTTCCACACAACAGCCACCACGATGGCCTCGCTGGAGTCTGTCACCCAGTCGCTCTCGAAGCTCTCGATCTCCCCTGCCGCGAAGGTCTCGCACGCCCCGACGAACTCTCCTCAGTCCTGGCGCGAGGCTCTCGAGGCGAGCTCCGATGCCCCCAAGCCCTTTGAGCTGATCAAGACGCTCGTGTACAAGCCCAAGACCGCGAAGACCGCGACTCCTGTGCCTGTGTTCGTGATCGCGCGAGAAACGACGGATGTGCCCTCAGGAGTCCTCGGCAAGACGCTTAACCTGAAGGATCTCCGCCTCGCGTCCGAGGACCTGCTCAAGGAATTCTTCAACCTCGACAAAAACTCTCGTGAGTACATCACCTCGATGTGTGGATGCGGATGGTGGAATCAAGGGTTGGCTGGATGATCTCGGGAAAGGCTTCCTGAGAGACACCCCAGTCAATCTACGACTCACGAAGGATTCGCCTCGATATCGTATAGCTGTGAAGATGGGTCTAACGCGATTCCCTTTCACCAGTCTCTCCCCTTGCTCTTGATGCGACGACATATCCCAAGCTTACGACCGTGATCGACTCCGCAATCGCCACTTCCACCTCTACATTCGCCGTCCGCGGCCTCTCCTCCGATTCCACCCTATTCCTCTCCGGAAAGGACCTCTACGCATACGTCAAGCAGCTCGCGACCGAGGGTACCCCCACACTGCACGAACTCGACATCGCGAACCTGCAATCCACCGCGGACGAGGCTGCGGCCTCAAAATCTGCCCCAGTGAAGAAGGAGAAGGAGGACGCGAAGATTGAGGGTGCTCCAAAAATTGCCATTGGTGTGAAGAAGGAGGTCGACTTCCCGACGTGGTACACGAACGTCCTCATCAAGGCCGATATGTTGGAGTATTACAACGTTAGCGGCTGCTACATCCTGAGACCCTGGTCGTACACCATCTGGGAGTCTATCCAAGGTGTGTAGACGCTATTCAATTCTGTTCAAGTTATCGAGACTTACTATGGGTGTAGAGTGGTTCAACAGTAAGATCAAGGAGATGGGCGTGCAGAACGCGTACTTCCCCATGTTCGTCTCGTCCAAGGTCTTGGAGCGAGAGAAGGATCACGTCGAGGGTTTCTCTCCCGAAGTCGCTTGGGTCACACGAGCGTATGTATGCCTGTGTTTCAGGTGATATTATCTACTGACTCTGCATCTACAGTGGTAACTCGGACCTCGAGGAGCCTATTGCTATCCGTCCCACCTCTGAAACCGTCATGTACCCTTGTACGGTCGTATGCGCTCGTATCATCTCCAACCAACTGACTTTGTTTCATAGACTATGCGAAGTGGATCCAGAGCCACCGTGACCTCCCTCTCAAGCTGAACCAGTGGAACAGTGTCGTCCGCTGGGAGTTCAAGAACCCTCGTGAGTACTACGGCGTTCAGTACCGTGGCGTTTATTGACTTGGCTGTCAGAGCCTTTCCTCCGTACCCGTGAGTTCCTCTGGCAGGAGGGTCACACCGCCCACCTCACGAAGCCCGAGGCGGACAAGGAGGTGCTCGAGATCCTCGACCTCTACCGCCGCGTCTACGAGGAGCTCCTCGCCGTCCCCGTCATTCCCGGTGTCAAGTCCGAGAAGGAGAAGTTCGCTGGTGGCCTCTACACGACCACCGTCGAGGGCTTCGTCCCCACGACCGGCCGTGGCATCCAGGGTGCGACCTCCCACTGTCTCGGGCAGAACTTCTCGCGCCCGGAGATGTTCAACATCTTCGTTGAGGACCCCAACGATCCCTCTGGCCAGGGCAAGACGTACGTCTGGCAAAACTCGTGGGGTCTCTCCACACGTACCATCGGTGTCATGGTCATGATCCACGGTGACAACCAGGGCCTTGTCCTCCCGCCCCGTGTTGCCGCCGTCCAAGTCGTCGTCGTTCCTTGCGGTATTACTGCCAAGTCGACCGAGGAGCAGCGTAACGCGGTCAATGAGGCGTGCGATAAGCTCGCGAACACGCTCAAGCAAGCTGGTGTCCGTGCGCGTGCGGATCTCCGCGAGGGCTACACTCCAGGCTTCAAGTTCAACGACTGGGAGCAGAAGGTAAGTTATCGCCTTCACCCATCCGACTGAACCCATTGGAACGCGTGTTGACCATCGATATGTAGGGTGTCCCCCTCCGTCTTGAGATCGGCCCCGCAGACCTCTCGAAGCAGCAGACGCTGAGCGCGCG